AGAGCCACGTGCATATCTGCATCCTACTTTGCCCTTAGTGGGAGCTATGCCAGGAACTGTAGGGGGGACCGGGCGGAGTGGGTAGTGGTGGAAGGCAGTGATGTGTCACCAAAGTCTTGACCGTGGCCAGCTCCACCAGTAAGAGTGCTACAGGAGGAGAATGTACCAAGAAGAAAGACTGTGGATGAAGAGCACTAAGCACCCTAACACAGGGACCACTGGAATTACACGGACGGCAAATGGAAAGGAAGAAGATGTTACTAATGACGGAAACAGGAAGACTTTAAAAGCTGCCAAGAAGCGTAGGCCAGCAATTCAGATTCTGATTAGCAAATAACGGGAACCGGGGATGCTGTAGTTCTTGGAACTTCAAATGGATCGTTTTAGAAGGATAATGGTCACCACTACTGAGCATCTTCTATCTCCCAAGCTATAAACACATTATATAATTGAAAGCAAAACAGCTTGGCCAAGTATCGATAAGTCTCTTATTACAAAAGAGAAAGGGTACTTTGAGAGGAAAACATTGTCAATGCCAAGTGGCTGGAAAGCAGCAGGAGCCAGAGCCATCAACCCTCAAGTATTTGCTCTTTCCACCATTATCTCACTTCCAGTAACCCACTGTACCTCCAACTTCTACCCCATCTAACTCTGCACTCTGTTCTGTGTTACCCTAGGGCTTTAAAAAGAGATACTGAGGGTCTGGGGAGGTTACTCAGTGGGTAAAGGCACTTGTCAAGCAAGCTTGAGGGTCTGATCTCTTGAACCCATGCTAAGGTCAAAGGAACCAATCAGCTCCTAAAATAACTCTTCTGAGGAATGCACATCCCTACACATCATATACTTGCAACAAACAGAATTTAAAAATAAGTAAAAGTAAATAAGAATATGTTGATTCAGTAAGTATTACTAGAACAACAGGATATCCATACATGAAAAATGAAATCTTGCACCACATAAAGCCCCCAAATATAAACTGTGAATAGAAAATACAGGAAAAAACCTCTTTGTTCTCTTGGATCAGGCAAAGACTTCTTACATAAAACATCAAAGTTTTCTCTACACAAGGAAAATGCTGACAGGGAAGACTACATCCAAATCCAAACCTCTGTTCCTCAAAGACTGTCAACAGGCTGAAAAGACAAGGCTCAGGTGAGGGAAAACAAATTATGTGATGTGTATTTGGTAGAGGATTGGTGTACAGAATAAAAGATGTCATAGTCCATCAAGAAAATAGGCAAAAGATCTGAATAAAAGTGTCTTCAAATGAGCATGAAACACACTCACAGGTACAACATGATATATTTGAAAGAACAATCACTAGTTATTAATGATTACAAATTAAATACAAATTCAAACCATAGTGTAATACTGCCACACATCTGACAGAACAACTGAAAATAAAGATGAGGGGGAAAAGATAACCTGCCAAATCAAGGACTGCTTCTATTGCTGTGAAAAGACACCATGACCACGGCAACTCTCACAAAGGAAAAACATTTAATTGAAGTGACTTACATTTTCAGAAGTTCAGTCCATTATCACCATGGCAGGGACCATGGCCTTGTGCAGGCAGACATGGTGTTAGCTACATCTTGATATGCATGTAACAGGAAGTGGACTGTCTCACTGGGAGTAGCTTGAACATAGGAGACCTCAAAGCCTCCTCCCAGAGTGACACACTTCCTCCAACAAAGTCACACCTACTCCAACAAAATCAGACCTCCTAATAGAGCCACTCCCTTTTGGGGCCATGTTTTCAAACCACTACAAGGGCACAAGAATAGGTCACAACTGGAACTCTCAGTCATAGCCAGAGGGAATCCAAACTGCTGCTGACACTCAGGAGAACAAACCAGCAAGATCAAATTAGACATATATTTGTAAAGGTGTATGTGGCCAAGATGGGGGACCTGAGTTTGAACCCTCAAGCCCACAGGGTAGAAGAAAACTGACTTCCACAAGTTATCTTCTGGCCCTCCACATATGTGCCCCTCAAATCGATAAAAATGTCATTTAAAAGTCAGAGAATCAAGAGGTAGGCTTTTTATGTCCCAAAGAACCAAAGGAAACATTATACACAAACACACACAGAAACACACACAGGGGTTATGAGTGTGTGTGTGGGTACACATTCTTCTCTCTTCTACTACATCTCTGAAATCTTTCTGAAGATAAGATAACTTGCCTATAATAAAAACTTTAGCAACAGGAAACACATTCTGCTTAGATTGTTAAAACTTGAAGTGTGAAACAATTCAGAACTGCTTGGCCTCACCATCCTGTCATGAGGCAGTTCTGCTCATAATTAACTTAGCAAAATAGGGGAAGGCAACAGGAAAAAAATGTTTTGTTTTACTAATGGCTTTTAAGTAACTGCTCACATGTCAAGTGGACTTGGGTTACCAGAGTGGCACTCTTGGGCAGAAACATTGGCTTCCTTTGAATACAGCTTTTTAAACCGAATACTGCTTTCTTTCCTGAGCAAGCATGGCTTCTTCCTGCTGCCCCTGCTCAGGTGCCCAGTCAGGAGGGACAGCCACTGACACCCAGGACATTCAGAAAGTGAGGCTAGCCATCCTGCATGGCTCCACCACACCCTCAGCAAACATGAGGTAAGAAGAATGGGGTGCAAACTGCTGAAGGGCCAAACTTGGGCACCAGCCAGAAAGGCCCTAATATTATCAACTGTGCAGCTCCCCCTTGACTTTTCAAAAGGCACCTGATATCACTTAGTAAATGTTAAAAGTGTAAGACCTTAGTTGCAAGAAACAATACCAGGGGAGGACAGCCTGAAACATTTGCAGCTCTGGTTTTGTTCTAGGAAGATAAAAATGAACACAGCACTAGAGAGACACACATCTCAGATCACCTCACTGCTTCTCATCTCTTCAAGAACTATTTTAAATTATGTTAATCAGTCACACTGGGGAATGTTATAAAAATCGGGTATTTCAGTGTCCGTGGAGTGCTAACCACATTGTCTTAGTTGGAATTTCTGTTGCTGTGAAGAGACATCATGCTACAGCAACTCTTAGAAAGGAAAACATTTCATTGGGGTTGCCCGCTTACAGTTCGGAGGTTCAGTCCATTATCATCATGGTGGAACATGGTAGCACGCAGGCAGACATGGTGCTCAGAGTTCTACATCTTGTAGGCAATAGGAAGTGAACTGAGACACTGGGAATGGCTAGAGCATATATGACACCTCAAAGCCCACTCTCACAGTAGTACACTTCCTCCAACAAAGTCACACCCACTCCAACAAAGTCACACCTCCTAATAGTGCCACTCCCTTTGGGGGCGAGGGCATTTTCTTCTAAACCACCACACACAGTAAGCACATTGTGTTCTTACACAATGGCAAAATCACCTAATAACAAATTTCTCAGAATGTATCCCACTGCGAAATGACATATGACAACTATACACAGACAGACAGACAGACAGACAGACAGACACACACACACACACACACACACACACAGCAACCTCAGTTTCTTTAATAAACTTTTAGTTCAACAGAACCATAGAACGGAAATGGCCTAAATGGGATGCAGGCATTGTGGATTGGTTACCCAAAGACATTCACACTCCTCTTCTCCTTTAATCCCAGAAAGCATGCAAAGGGTGCAGGACAGCTTGTGTGCTGTTCTCTCTTTTACCATGTGCATCTTGAAGACAAATTTCAAACTGTCAGGCGTGGCTGCAGGCATCCTTACCCACTGAGTCATCTCACTGGCCCCACTCGGGAAGACAGTGAAGAGGAACTACAGCTTTCCCATTGCCAAGTGAGGGCTGTGGGGAACCCAGCCTGGATCGGATCCCCTCCAGAGCATAGTCTGCTAGAGGACAGGGTGACTGAGGGACTTCCATATGACAACACTAAAGTAGACTGCTATCTATGCAGCAGATCCAAATTGTCCTACTTAATTCTTTCTTCTTTCTTTTCTAGGTCTCACTGTGTAGCCCTGGCTGACTTGGAACTCACTTTGTAGACCAGGCTGGCCTTGAACTCACAAAGATCCACTTGTCTCTGCCTCTCCAACTCTGGGATTAAAGGTGTGTGCCACCATAAATTCTGGGATTAAAGGCATTATGCCACCTCTCTCAGTTCTTAAAGTCTCTTTTAATGCAAGCCCAGTTATATCTGCTGATTCCAGTATTCAAATGGGCTCAAGACCCTTCCTCAAGAAGTAAGAGCATTCACCTCTCCACTGACAGTGGTGACAAGCCGCAGGTGGCCCCGGCACAGTGCAAGGATAACTTGAGCTAGCAGATCTGAATGGGAGACCTGGCACTGTCACTTTTTTCTTTATAACATCCCAGAGGCATAGCTCTGAACCTGTCTGAGTTCATCTTCCCAATTTATTTATAAGTATAGACATTAAATAAGATCATGATCACAAAATACATCTAACAATGTAAACACCCTACAGAAGTAAGATGTTAGCAGATAGCCTGATTGCGTGCAAACTAAAGCAAATAGGTTCAAAACGAGGACAGTATATGAGTAATTGGAGAGCCATTTATTATCTTTATGGCATTTATTTTGGCTCTTCTTCCTTCCTCAGAGGGTAAGAGTTTGGAGACAAGTGAGCCTCATCTCATAAAGGGCTGCAAAAGAGCCTTATGGAATGAATTTAAGAGAACTAAAGACAAAATACTCCTTGGCTTGTTTATTGCTGAGCAATAACTGTTATCAGTCACAACATAATTCAGCCTCTTACTGTGCGCTCTCACGGCCCTCTGGCCTTTCATATCCTTTTAATTACATGTTTAATGCCATGTATTTAATGTCTATATTCCCATAATACTCTAAGCCCCGAAGATCTTACTTCTCACCTTGGCCGGAGACAAAGGTCCCGGGAAGTAAAGATTGCAGCTTGTTCTCTCTTGTACTTCCTAATGCTATTTGGGGCAGTGTGACCAGCAACAGAGGTCCCCGAAAGGCCTTCCAGATACCATGGAATGTTTCAATCTGCTTTCAAGCCACATACCTTGTCCTGTGTTTGGCATCGGATACAGTCGCACTCAAAGCAGTACTGGTCCCTCAGCTGCTTCCGGCGTTCCTCGCTGGTCATCAACATGTCCAGGTAGCAGATGGTGAGCTGCGGGGATGGAGAGGGAAAGGCTCGAGTGGCTGGTGTGCTCATTTTCTTCTATGGTTATTATCGCTGCTAATGCTGAGAGTAAGACATCAACAAGGCGTAGGAGAGAAGGCACCACCGACAGCCTCTTCCCCAAGCCATTGTAACACATTTTCTTCTTGGCTGGCGCAGTGTAAGCACGCAGACATTACATACTTAGTTTAAAAAATTCGGTTTATAATCGCGACACAGTTTTGTGCTTATCTTTGGTTTCCCCTGCCCTTCCATTAAATAGTAAAACATCAGGAATCATTCTGTGTTTGGTATCACTAAGGTTTCACCATAAATTCTATAACCAATTATAATCAGAGAGGCCAAATTCACTCAGGCAAACAAATGAGCAGCAGATGATGCGGCCAGACTGACTTTAAATACTGGCTGACTGTAGAGCTGTTTCCTGGGCCACCTATATTTGACAATTTTGAAAATAAGAAGATATTCTATCACTTGTTGCTTATCTTTTCTTTTTAAAAAAGTGAACTGACATTTTTTCCACTCAACACATAGAAATCAAATTCACAACATCAGAACGGAACTCTCAAACACACACACACACACACACACACACACACACACACACACACACACACACACACACACCTGCTCCCTGCAGAGTTGGGGAAGGGCAGGCAGTAGCTTCTATTTCACGCTGTCCAGACTGAACTCTTGGTGTCTCCCTTGACTCTACCATCCAAAACCAGTGGGAAGTTCTGTTAGATCTCTACTAAAAATACATCCAAAACAGACCACTTTTAGTCATTCCCAATGTTACATCCAGACCTGGACCACCACATCTCAGGGTGGTTCCCCACTTCTCTAGCCTGCACAGAAGTCAGACAGGCTTTCTTCTGTTTGAAATACTGCAACAGCGCCCCCTTTTGTCCGAGAAGGGCCAAGACCTCACAGTGCAACCCTGAACCCAATGGGCTATGCTGCAATGGGGAAAGAAACACAAAGTCCTCATTTAGAAACTTTTACAATGTTGGGGTGTGTGTGTGTGTGTGTGTGTGTGTGTGTGTGTGTGTGTGTGTGTGATTCTAATGATAAAACATTGGGGTTTTGATTGCTGCTGTTTTACTGTCTTTAAATTTTCATTTAATTTTGTAAGAATATTAGTCTATGGCCGGGTGTTAGTGGTGCACACCTTTAATCCCAGCACTCGGGAGGCAGAGACAGGCGGATCTCTGTGAGTTCAAGGCCAGCCTGGTCTACAGAGAGAGTGCCAGGACAGGTTCCAAAGCTACACAGAGAAACCCAGTCTCGAAAAACAAAACAAACAAACAAAAAATTAGTCTATGATGACCCACAGAGAAGGATCAGCTTTATAAGGCTGCCCCATGGCCTCCTGAACGCAGGGCCCCTCCCCGGGTGTTCCCCTCCCCGTCTCCCTTGCCTCTTGCTGCCCTAGCTAGTCTGGCCTTTTTTGCTGTCCCTCCATATTCCCAGCTCAGGCCTGAGTTCTCCCAGATCCACTAAGGTGGCCTCGCTGGTCCTCTTGGGTTTCAATCAAATCCCATTTTCTCAAGGAGCCTAACCAGCTGCCTATTTAAAATAACAACTTGGTTCCCACCACACCCAGTGCTCCTCCCCTTTCCCCCTTGTCTGGGTTTGCTTTATCCTTGTAATGTATAGCAGCTTTACTGTAATGCATAAATGAGTTACTTATCTGCTTTCAAATGCAGAGGGTAATTATGGGGGTCTGGGTGGTGGGGGAAGCAGGGGGATACTAAAGGAGAGGAGGCAGGGCTATCCACTGGAAGAGTTGAGAACCTCCCTGGGGCAAACACTCCATGTGGTTTTTCTCCTGCTGAAAACAAAGTGTCACATGTCTTCTAACATGATTTTACTTGTTTGAAGTCAAGGTAGGGCGCAGAAGGCCTCTGAGAGAAAATGACTCCAAGGCGACCAGGCCAGCCACATCTGTCAGCCCCACGCTGTAACCAGAGTGACAGAAGACATGGCCTGAGCTGACTCACTGCCTCATGACAGGGTCTTTGCATGTTAGAAAACTACGGTGGGCTGCCTCCACACAAGGAGTGCCCGCCCAAGGGTACAGACCTGCTCTTGCCTTCTGGGACTGTGGCATTCCTGCAGGAGCGTGCAACACTGAAGACCAGAGAAGGAATGAAGTTTGCATTTGACCAGACTCAAGCCTGACGCTCCTTCCCGGGGACAGCGGTGCCCTTCCGGGGTAGGAGTGGAGCCTAACTCCAGAAGGAGCCCACACAGCCCCCACTGCTGGACCTACCGAGTACAGCAGTGGAGAGCAGTGGTGGCAACTGGGCTCCTTTAAGCCAGGGCTAGAGTCACTTTGTCATTTCCTCCATCTCTCTCTTGCATTTTGATCTGAAGGCAGGGCCACCTTGGAGGTGAACAGGCTACACTACCAGGCAAGCTCCCATGGTTCCCAGGTTCAAGTATCCAGTCTCTGAGCATATATCCTGGAACATCCTATTGGAAACTACACTAATCCTGTATCCTCAGGCTCTCTGGTCCTGGCTCCTTACATGGGCGAGGGAGGGGGTAAACTAGCTGATGACTATGCTTCCTCTAGAATTCATTCCAGAACCCTGTTTCTCACTCCAGGTCAAAGACTATGATTCACTAACCCACAGGCCAGGCAAATGCCACAGGCTACTGTGAAGCCACTGACTCCGTGGTGTCTGACTACAAAACAAGGGCTAAAATTCATGAGTGATTCGGCCAGTCAGTGAGCAGATAATTATAATAATAATAACAATAGGCCAGTTATTTCATTTAACCCCAATACACAGATTCTCGAAGTCTTTCTGGGTAGCAAGTGCCTAAGCCCAACTTCAGCCATGGTTTTCTAAAGGACCTCCCATTGTTGACTTCTCTACATTTGACCTTCTGAACAGCAGAGAGAGAGAGAGAGAGAGAGAGAGACAGAGAGAGAGAGAGACAGAGACAGAGAGAGAGACAGAGAGAGACAGAGACAGAGAGAGACAGAGACAGAGAGAGAGAGAGAGAGAGAGAGAGCTCTCCCTAACACACGCCTGATACATCATTCCCCCACATGAAGACTTCAGGCAGCTTCCCACTGCTTCTCACTGCCTACAGAACACAGCCACACAAAGCTCTTCTTCTTACGCCGACTGTAGGTCTCCTTCCCAGCGTCGCTGTCTTCTGTGCCTCGCAGGCTGCCTGTCCTGACTGTATAGCTCTGTCTCTTTAAAGTATGACATCACTGTGATTCTCTGCCCTGCTGCCTACTTCAGGGCCTTTTCCTCATCCTTCGTGATTGGCTTGAAAGTTCCCCCTCCCTCACAGACAGGGCTCAACGCTCCCTCTGTGCCTCTTTCATGCCACTGAAGTTTGCAAACTATCCTGTACCAAAGCCGAGGGGTGCTCAGTGGCAAAAAAGAAAAAAAGAAAAAAAATCACAGAAGCACACAGCCAGGTTGAAAGAGCAACTCAATCATTTTATCACCGAAAGTTAGAAACCTTTATCAAGGGCTCGTAGATTCACAAGTTTAAATGGAGTCATTGCTCACTACACGTAGGGCTCATTTAGTGGGCACACACACACAAAACTTGGCCATTGATCAACTGATGCGTTAATGGCACAGAACAAATCCCATTAAAATACTAATGCTCCGACCACTGCTCTCCCATTTAAGGGTAACTCTTATAGAAAAATGCATGAATCATTTCTAGCCTTAGAGTAATATCACAAGGGTTTCTGGAACTTGATTATGGTGCCTCTGATCAAATCACAAGAAAGAGAATATCTTTTTCCCTGAAACCATCTTTCCCATCAACAACGGAGTGTAGAATAAAACAAAATCTTGTCTTCATTTCTGCACTGTATTGTCACAGTTACACATTTTTCCAATACTGCTTCTGAACTGAAAAAAAAACACAAAAAATTCACTTCTTTCTAAAGTCAAACCTCAATGTCACATATGTCCCTTCTCTTTGTCATACAAATTCTACTAATTTTAAATGAACTAAATCATAAATTAATCTATTAATTAATAAATTCTATTTATTTTAGCTTCTAAATATTGTATTCTTCACATCATCTATTCTGAGCCACCACCTGGCCTCCTCCTGACTTGAGACTGTCATTGTCAACTCTTGCCTGGAGGGACAGCCTGACCCTCATTCTCTTAACCTTGTCTACACATAAAATCTTGCCATACTGTCCTTCTCCTAAACATCAAGGATGGCTCACTGCCTGGGCCTCTCCCCTTTGTAAATATTTACTAGTAGCCTCCCATATAGTAGACACTGTTAGGAAATCCTCAGGTGAATAGCCTTCTGGAAAAAAAAAGCCACAGACGTTGGTTCAGTCTCTATGTATCTCCATTCCTGGTTACAATTATTTCTTCAGTCTATTAATATGAATCCCTTTTTACTCACCAAATTCGCCACACTGCCTCTGACTTCTGTCTCCCTGCCCAGAACACTGGTCCCTGCCTCACCTAACTTTGTCTTTATGGGTCCTTCCAGATCTAGAGGCCACTTCTCTAGATGCCTTCCTTAACTGTCTCCCAAGCCTGGCACTTTCATCTGCCTCAGTGCTCTGCTCTGGGTGTCCACGAAGCCCTGTCACACTGCTCTGGGTATCCAGGAAGCCCTGTGCACACACACTGCTCTGGGTGTCCAGGAAACCCTGTGCACACACTCTGCTCTGGGTGTCCAGGAAACCCTGTGCACACACACTGCTCTGGGTGTCCAGGAAACCCTGTGCACACACACTGCTCTGGGTGTCCAGGAAACCCTGTGTACACACTCTGCTCTGGGTGTCCAGGAAACCCTGTGCACACACACTGCTCTGGGTGTCCAGGAAACCCTGTGCACACACTCTGCTCTGGGTGTCCAGGAAACCCTGTGCACACACACTGCTCTGGGTGTCCAGGAAACCCTGTGCACACACACTGCTCTGGGTGTCCAGGAAACCCTGTGTACACACTCTGCTCTGGGTGTCCAGGAAACCCTGTGCACACACTCTGCTCTGGGTGTCTAGGAAACCCTGTGCACACACTCTGCTCTGGGTATCCACGAAGCCCTGTGCACACACACTGCTCTGGGTGTCCACGAAGCCCTGTGCACACCTGTGCCACCACACTTCACATATTCCGTGTCACCTTCTGTTCTGTTGTCCCCTTCCTCCTCCTGAGAAGCTGTTCCGAGAACACGTATTCCTCAGAGTTTCTGGAACGGCCACCCAGATCCTACCACCCAGCAAGCCCTCTGTGAATTTGTTGCATGCTTTAGCAAACAAACATCACTGAATGAAGAATCAGACTGCCTAATCCCCAAACCAACAAAAACTGATGTTCGGGAGCGTGATATGTTCAATTCATGCAAATCACAGCCAAGTGAGCAAAACCTAGTGAGCAACACAGACAAAATGCAAACTTGATCTATGGAACCAACAAACTTTAAATTTACTCTTGTTATCAACTTCACTAAAGCTCACATCTGACAATAAGTAGGAATTAGCCCTCTCAACTGTGGCTTCAAACTGTCTTCTGGACTCCCCCACCCCCACCCCCTTGCATGCCTCCAGCCCAGTGCCCTGGAGAGAAATGCTGCTGGTATCAGTCAGTTCAACCAATAGAGTCAACTCAAGAGTGTCAGACACTTCCCACGTGTGAAGCAAGTCCTGGGAGACAGGGAAGAGGCAAGACCCAATTGCTGTCCCTGTGAAGTAACAGTGGCATAGAAAAGTCACCTGGAGCCAGAATACGTGCCAAAGGCATATTAGTAACCACTGAGAGGGGGAGTCCAAGGGAAAGCCCTTCCCCTGACCTGGGAAATCGGAAAAGCTTCCCTGATGAGAGGGGGTCTGGAAGGACTGTGATACAAAGACTTCTAGAAATGGTGCCAGACAGGGCAACATGCACAGGAAATGCCATTCACCGAGAGGTGACAATGGAAGCCCAGGGAGTTTTGTCTTCTGACGAGAAGATGCACAAACACCTAGGAGGACGCTCTTCTAGTGGAGAGGAGCCCTTGATAAGCATCCCAGAGGGAGACACCTCAGTCTTTGGTACCTAGCACAGAGCTGGACCATTCCACTGGGCAAGAAGAAGCACTTGTTTGTCACTCCAGAGACAGAGGACATGAAAAAGTGAAACAAATGACCTAAAAACCTACCAAGAAGAAAACTTGGTAGCCAAGCTTAGAAAACCCCAACCTTTTTATAGTTTGTTCTTATTTATGGATGTTCTTTCCAGTGATGGGAATTGAACCTGGGACACTGTACATGCTAGGTGCTCTACACTGAGCACTGAGTGATCCCCTAGCCCTTGTGTGGTTAAAACATCGTCACCATCAATAGTCAGTTCTCCCTTTAAACTACGTATGATGATCCATCTTAATTGTCAACTTGACTGTATTAAGATACGACTAGGAAATTATGAAAGCATACGTTTGCTACATATCTATGAGGAAGTTTCCAGTGACAAGCAGATCAGGAGCGCTTTGGCCTAAACAAGAGTAATCAACTGCTGCATTTGAAATCTGAATAGACTATTGGAAAGAGGCACACCTGAGGATGTGGGTCACCATGAACTACACAGCTCTGGTTTCTTGGTTACAGCTCCACTCTGTCCACCACAATGTGAACGTGAACTATCTCACTCATCTTCATGGTCATGAGATAAACAGCCTCCATTACATGTCCCTGCGGTCACAATGGACATACAGACTCAGAAACATGGGGCCACCTGGCCATGGTCTGAACCCTCCAAAACATGGTATTAATAAATTGTTCCTCCTTCTAAGATGCTTACGTCAAGTCAAAGCAGTACAAAAGTAATAAACACACTAATAATACAGAACACAGAAGAGGTTCCCTTTCTACCCCACCTTGAAATCACATGACCCCAGAGAAAAAAAATGTAAATTCCCCATAGCATCAGCGGATATCCCAGTACACACTGGTCCTAAAAGGTGCTGTGTACGAGGCAGCGTGCTTGGTTGAAAATAAGTTTGGAGGGAGTCTTGTCAAGACCAAATCTCCATAAAATATGGTACCTCTAAGTTAAGGCTTTATCTGGAGGAGTGCTGCATAAATGCCATAAAAGCTTATGACCTCCATTTTCCTTGCAGTAAATACCCACTCTAGCAATTGGAAGGCAGGAGGAAATGGAGTTCTGGGAAACACCACTGTAACCAGAGCTCAGCATGTGTAGTAGCTGCATGAACTCCACACAGACTCTGTGTGGCCCAGCAGCCTATTTGTAGTCATCCGAGAGACCGCAGGCTTCCGTAGAGGTCCCTCATCTAAGAAGCGGGCTAGGCCATCTACACAAAGCCATACTGCCTAGTCCTACTTGACCCTCTGTCTTGGCTGAAACAAACACCCAGAAATGCTGAGGGGTTACAGAAACCCTGTGGCAAAGACCTGGAAGAATAAACCATGCCTACTTTCTTTTTTTTTTTTTTTTTGAGAGGAAATAATTTATTTGGCTTACACTTACAGGTCACAATCCACCATCGAGGGAAATCAGTGCAGGGACCTGAAAGCAAAAACCACAGAGGGATACTCCTTTTCACCTCACTCTGTGGGTTGCCCAGAGACTTATTAAACCATGCCTACTTTCTTCATACAGAATTTTAAATATCTTCAGAATGTGCTCAGAGGGCTTGGGGGTAAGCCCTGGGGATGCTATAGACAAGCCGGGTTGCCTCTCTACCTCTCTACCCATGGAAGGATGGCTGTTTGCTGGGATGCAGCAGACAGCTGAACTGTTGTAGCCAATGAGGAGATTTAATGACTCCCACGCATGTGCATAAAACACATGGGCTCTGTCACAGAGGAACATCTCTTAAATACGTGTCAGAGGGTTATCATGCAGAAACCCAGTGACCAAGACCAGATACTATGCATGATTCAGCTACAGCTAGGTTTGTGACTATTTCAAGTGTCTTCTTGGAGGCAGGGCAGCAGGGAGCCAGTTGTAACTGGTTGTAGGAGGGGGCCGTACTGGGAAGGACCCTGATGAGCATGGAGGGCAGGCAGTGGGAGGCATGGGTTTCCTTACCTCCTCTCCTGCCTCGATTTCCCGCACTGCACGCAGTAAGAGGTGGGGCCCATTGAACACAATTGAGCAGTTGGGGTCACAGCTGTGATTCAGCAGAGACATACTAAAGGAAAGAAAAAGGGGGGTCATCAATGCTTAGAGTTAAGTAGCTACATTAAATGGAAACAATAGTCAAAGACACTTTAGAATGGGGGAGGGAGTCCAAGGTAGGTTTGATGGAGAGAAAATGGGGACTGGGCTCTGGGAGTGCTCATAGGCATACCCCATATCCTGCTTCATATGAAGTCAAATGCTTCACATAACACAGGCTAATCAGGGAAGTTTGATAATAAAATGAATCTTTAGTCCTTTGGTGGGATGGGTCACATTAGATATTGCCCGATAACGTAACTCAGATGAAGGTGGTGCTGACAAAGTAGCCTTTAGAGAGATCATCTTCCAGCTAGCAGCAGTCACAACAGTCACCCAGCATGCCACTGACCCACACAGGGTCTCACTGCTGGGCACTGGAGGAGAGGGCTGTGTCTTTGCTAGATGCTCACACTGAGGAGTAGTCAGGTGGACACGCTCTCAGTAGGTCCTGATGCATTCTGGGAAGGAGCCTAGTTACTTTCTTTTCCTAAAAGGTTCATGTGGGTGATGAAATGACTTTACACAGTCAGCAGGACTGACAGCAATTAGGATGAACTCATACTATGTAGGAAGTACTTGTTCAGTACTGGAGCAGAGTGACCCAATTCAGCCACCACAACAACCTTGTGAGGATTACTTGCAGGTGAAGAGGCCACTGCGTAAGAATGGCATGGCTTATCCAAGGGTGTGCAAATATTTAACTGTGACTGAACTGGAACGAGATGGCCTGAGCTCAGAGCCACGCTCTGAAGTCCTCTATGTTGCTGCCTTGATACCTGTGCTATGAACAGACCTGAACTGCAACCAATGTGGGTATAAGAGGCTGAGTCTCAGACGCAATTGCTTAGAAGAAACACTATGTTTGAACCCTAGGAGCATGAAGACAGAATGAAAGTCAGGTTGGTTCTAGTTCTGGGATACATGCCATCTGGCAGCTCAGGGACAAAGGCTGCCAGAGTGACGGCTAAGGAACTCTACAGCAGGCTACTCCTGAAGGCTCCTGAGCCACAAGTCTGGTGGGATAACTGTGCGCTTCCACATAGGAGGCTAAGGACAAAGCTCAGGGAGATTTGTAAGGACAACTGAATTCCAGCTTCAACCTACTCCAAAGTCTGCCTGAGAACATGAAATCTACCTTGTCTTAATACCATAGTATATAATGTGAGTTATAAGACTTAAATATTTTTACAGCCGTCTGTATTTTACTACTAAGTTTTGAGTTTGGCTTTGAGCTAGCTGCTACAAAAGCCTTTCTAATGAGCTCCAAAAGGCTGGAGAGCTGGGTAGGAGTTAGCTGGTTTGGGATGTCTGCCATACCTGGGGTACAGGCCAACGCCAACCTCCTGCATCTCCGCATTGCAGATGGTGAACGAGTTGCAGATCACCTGTGGAAATAAGAGGGGCTGTTGTTAGAAATCCACTTGAGGAATCTCACATCACTCACAAAGGCTTGCGATTTTTAGGGACTGCTTGGAAGGGTCTTCCCCAAGCATGGATGTTGTGTAACTTTAAAATAACTTCTCGGATACACAATCCCCAACCCTGGGGAAACACACAGCTTCAAGGAGTGTAGAAACTGTGAACTGTATTAGTCTAACCTCTCCCATCCATATTCTACAACTCCATGAAATGTTTGAAATTCAAAATACAAATAAGCTACTCATTAAAATCTAGGTTCCTGAGGCACTGATGTTTTTCAGACTGCCTGACTGGTCCAAAGGCCCCTTTATCTAAGGAATACAGCAGCGTGTTTGTTTGCATTCCTGCGGAGTGCAGTGTGCCCTGGGGGAGTTTGTGATCCAGGCTGCTTACAGGCCGCAAGGAGGACAGGAAGCTGCACCATGGGGCCACACTGCACACCCAGAGCCCCTCGCTGGGCCTGTGGCGTGTACCTGTGCCCTTTGGGAAGATAAGGAAAGAAAGAAAGAAAAACATACACAAGGAACTTTAAAACCTTGTCTGCACAGGAGGTGATGGAATGTGTCAGAGCCACGAAGACTGTGCACGGAGCACTGGGCTTGAGTCACTAGTCTAGACCCTGGCATGAGACAATGCCCACACCGACATTAGGAAGAGAAGTTCAGAACTTAAGCTCTGCACGAAAAGAAGTCCCTGAGCTGGAGAAGTGAATGATTTGAAGACTTCCTAGACAGAAGCTTAGTTTGCAAATGTGGATTGGCTGACTACTTAGAACTTCAGTGATGTGGAGAGGTAGGAATGCTGCAGGGCCAGAGTCTAGTTACAATTTCTTAGGCTGTCTAGCCTCCTGAAGAGGCATTCCTGGCCTCCCGTGGTGTCAGGCCTAACATGTCAATAAACAGATAAAACCCCTGGAATGGATTAACCTAGCAAAACCCTATTCTCCACCAATCAAAGGGCTAAGAAAGCAGCATCTGAGGTTTATAACCGAGATTTCTCCACAGTGGCAGTAGCCTAGTGTTTCCACCAATGTGTTTTTCAAGTTTCTTGATTTATTACTTTGTTCTGTCACTACCGAAACTGCACGGAACTGCTTCAACATTGGGACATGGAATTTGGGGTAACTTAAACCTGTGTTTCCAGGCCATGGCTGCTCATATTTGACTCCAGAATAAAGTATCTCTTATTCCCTTTGAGGTGAGAGCTGTGTTTCTGTGACGTGGGCATGAGAAAGAGGTGAAGACCTAGAACAAGGTGACATGTGAACCGGGGACCATGGGGACGAGCCTGGGCTTCACTGAAAGTGTTGCCGCTGCCCATCTGAGTTCACAGGGCACTGATTCCAGGCTCTCGTGTTCGGAACAAAGGGCTGCTCCAGGGACTCAAGCTTAGAAAGAAAAGTAGAGGCAGCCTGTGAAGAAAGGGAATGCACTCCTGGGCACAGGAGTGAGCTAGTGAGCTGAGAGGAAAGCCCAAGGCCAGGGGCCATGGGGCGAATGACCCTGTACAGTAAATTGCACAGCAGGATTTTCTCACGCGTGCCCTGTTCCTTATAGGAAGCCCAGGTGAGGAAGGGCTTCCTGTCTTTCTCTGCCAACTGGCTTCCTTTACAGTTAATCTTGATGTAGCTTTCCCTCCCCAGTTTGTATCCTCCATACACAAAGGTGTACGTCACCAAACAAACAACAAACAGAGAGTGCGGAGGCTTTGTGGTAAGAGAGTTTGGGCACACACAGCAAGAATACTGATGCAGCCCATGAAAGCGGTTAAGATGAGAGAGGGCAGAGTTGGATGGCACAGGACTCTAGAGCTACGCTGAATTTTATTTTAGGTGAGACTCCAAGCCAAGGAGTAAATGGGCCTGACTTCTGTTGGCAAAGGATAGCTCTGACAGCTATGCACAGAACGGGCCGTTTAGAGGTAAGCATGCATGTGTGGTGCATGGGTCAGTGGACATTCCATAACCCAGGCAAGTGGCTTGGACACTTGGACGGAAGTGGGAGGAGCTGGCAACGCTGGCGCCGGCTTCACTGGAACACTGCTGACGGGGAATGAGTGACAGACAAACTTGGGGCTTGGCTGCTCACGGCTGCCGTTTATTAAGAGGTGGGGGAATGCAAAAGGAACGACTTTGGCACTAAGGGGTGGGGATGACTTCGTTTTGTTATGGTGAGTTTCAAATGGCCCAGGGCCACCTCCAAGCCCAGATTAGGAATGAACAAATGGAGTTTGGGGAGCAGGTAGAGCCAGATATATAAATTTTGTATGGAATATAGAAAGCCCATCAAAAAGAAGGGGACAGAACCACGGTTGAGATAGATCATGACTACAAACGAACACCGACTGTTAGTTTCTGTACAGAAAGGCTGAGACAGCAAACTTCTCTGCCAGATTTATAGGCAGGAACAGGAGTGTGGAAAGGTACTCCATCCTCTGAGGCATCTTCACTGCTGCAAACAGCCCTTACATGAAAGCTAAGCAATGCGTCACTATCTGGCTTTTTTCCCCCTCTAAAAGTCTGATAAAACCACAGCTTCAAATCAGGAAGTAAACTGGTGCACAGACACATTTTAAACAAATTCTGGTTAAATTGCTTTACAGGCATCTGCTTTGTATTAAGCTGCAAGGGTGTGCTGTCTGTGTATGCCCACACATACAGCGAATGATAAAAATACAAGGCTAAAGAGTCTGCGGTTACTTATTGAAATTTTAAACATTCTTAAATGGTTACGAATTTGAGCAGATGCGATTACAGATCTTAAATTTTAAAATGTATCTTATAGCATATTCAGAACAGCAAGCAGGGAAAGCAGTCCACCAACAAAAAGTCAGACCAAGCAAATCAAATTTGCTAACATTAGAATGAAATAAATATTTTTTCTGAATTTTGAAGCAAATTGAAGGTTCTTCCAAAGTATTTGTGTTCTGATGGACTCTCTAAGGATGAGTCTTAAAAAAAATACAATAGGAACAAAACACTGTGATCTTGGTGTTTTTCTCAGGAACATGTTTCCTCTGGACTTGGTGATGGCTCTCGGGCCTTTAGCAGCATTTACTACAATGAACCACTGCCCCCTGGAACCCTGCTGTACAGCGCCCAATGGTATCTGTCCTACAGCGTCCATTGGTGCCCTGCCCTACAGTGTCCACTGATACCTGCCCTACAGCGTCCATTGGTACCTGTCCTACAGCGTCCATTGGTGCCTGTCCTACAGCGTCCATTGGTGCCTGTCCTACAGCGTCCATTGATGTCCTACAGTGTCCATTGGTACCCTGCCCTACAGTGTCCACTGGTGCCCTGTCCTACAGCGTCCATTGGTATTCTGCTGTACAGCGTCCATTGGTGCCTGTCCTACAGCGTCCATTGGTGCCTGTCCTACAGCGTCCATTGATGTCCTACAGTGTCCATTGGTACCCTGCCCTACAGTGTCCACTGGTGCCCTGTCCTACAGCGTCCATTGGTATTCTGCTGTACAGCGTCCATTGGTGCCTGTCCTACAGCGTCCATTGGTGCCCTTTCCTACAGCATCCATTGGTGCCTGTCCTACAGTGTCCATTGGTACCTGTCCTACAGTGTCCATTGGTGCCCTGTCCTACAGTGCCCATTGGTACCCTGCCCTGTCCTACAATGCCCATTGGTACCCTGCCCTGAGAGACTCCATTTTAAAACCAGCTTTTAGTCTATCTTGGGGATGGAGAATGACTCTGTACTGAGGTGGACACATGAATGGCACTAAACATGACATGTACCAATGAATGACTTATTCCTGAGAGTACAAGGGGTACTATTGTATAAATTCATTGAGGTGAATTGGGAGTATAGGGATACATGGGGATATTAAAAATTATGCCACAAAAATCAGGCCCAAGAACTTATCAGACACATCAGACCAAGGAAAGGGTACAACTCCGTCGCTTGAATCTAGCACTGTGATGGTTATGGTCCCAACGTATAACCCGGCCATCAAGTGCATACTTCAAGAGATGGACAGGCAGAGAACTCCTGACTGTCCCAGAGGCTTCAGTTTAGCTCCAGTTCCTACTGCTGACATGGCCTACTCAAACTGCCATCTACCCGTCCACCTGTGCCCCACCTGGGGCTGCTGACCATCCGTCTGCTTGGACCCAGATCTGCCCTTCACTTCACCTCGTTCCTGAAGCTCAAGTCTGACACTGCAACTCTCTACAGCTAGCAACCAGCATCCTCAGATTCTTCTGGGCCTGGGCTTTGTGCTTCCCTCACCTCCACTGAGTTCACTTTACGCTTCTACCAGATTCCAGCTCTGGCCTCTCAGGTCTCTAAGTCATTCTGTAAGCTACAGACATAGCTGTTGATATCCACAGATACTATGTATGCATTTACTGTATCATGTGTAATGTGCGATCTGCAAGTTATTATTAGGAATTGAGGCTATCAAGGAAAGCAATATTATTTGGCAAATTGCAGTCAATGATATCACTGACTTGTGAATGTATTGTTATCTAATAAATTCTGACATTGTGGAGAAACACAATCATGCTTGTCTATGTTTCCAACACAGGGAGCTCATGGCACCCATTTATTTGGTGGAATGTAGAACCAGGCCGGGGTGGTGGTGGTAGTGCTTCATTTGTTGTATTCTCATGCCTAGCACAATGCCTGCTACACGGAAGCCACTGCTAGACATATTCAGACAGATGAATTACTTCATAGGTGTCATCCTCAGCATTCCCAGGGGCTTGCTATCCAGAACAGAGTCAGGGAAAATGTCTTTTTGTGAATGAAAATTGTAGCTATTTGTCAACTCCCACTTTATGAAAAATGCTGGGTCCTGGGCCAGTGAGATAATTCAGAGGAGAAGTTAAACTGCCATGCTACAAGCCATGACGTGAGTTTGATCCCCAAACCCATGGTAGAAGAGGAGAGCAATTCCTGAAAGCTCCATGGAGTGAAAAGAGAGAAGTAACCCCCAGAAGTTGTTCTTCT